CATAGAAAGATCCTCTTGTCCCTTTGCCATCTATACGCTAGGACGATCGTATTACACTTCGTGACATACTTCTTTTATGTTTTTTCATCTTTTCGAGGCCCAAGTGGCCAGACTGCACTTCAGACTCCTAATTAGGGTTGAAATCACAATCGATTACATCTATTAGACTTCTTTGGCCATACACCACAAAAAATTACTTAATCACGATAATTAAACTTGACTAATTCCTTAATAATCCAATGATTAAAATTTGAGATGTTACAAAGAAAGGTAGGGAATGAATGGAAGAACATTATAGCTATTCAAATTAACTCAAAAAATTAAATTCCAAAGAAACTACAAGAACCCAAATTCACTCAAGCAATACACACACGGATGCTCACACTATCTAAGACCTACAAATACTAATAATCAAAACCCATAAGCACCCACAATCAAAACCTAGCTCTAACAAATTGAAAGGATTGAGAAATGTAGGCAAAACCTACACTAACCTTAAAGGAAACGAGAAGTAACGCGAAAAAGGAGAAGTCATAAGCACCCACGAGCAACAAACAACACTCATTAGACAACAGATGACGACAACATGAACAAACGGGGCAAATATGAGCAAATAATCATGAACCCATTGGATTTTGTGAGCAAAAATAAGGGGGAATGGCTAAATATGTATTTTTAACGAGGTCTGTGGAGTTTCAGGAGCAAACAATTCTGTTCAAGTGAAGTTAGAAATGATTGTTTCAAGGTAAATTTAAATTGCAATACTTGACGATTATTTTAAATAACTATCATAATTATTTTGAAACAAGTGTCAACTATATGATATTATATGATACTTGACGCTTGTTTTAAAATAACCGTCAAATGTATGTGGCATTTATTTAATGGTTGTTGTGAAACAAATGTCAAATAAATTTAGTATTTTCATAAAAATAATATTGTTATCTTTTTTATACCTGTTTCAAGACAACCATCAAATACATGTTACCTATATTTGACAGTTCTTATGAAACAAATGTTAAATATTTATATTCTTTTAAAGATTAAAATAATAAATATATTTGACAATAGATAGAAAATAATCATGAAATATTATTCAAATATTTGACAGTTGTTTTTAAATACCATAAAATATTCTCCACTTTTTTATTGATCCTTTTTCTCATATAAACATTAAGTATATAATGTCTTATTTAACTAATTCTGTGGTAATGTTAGTAAAAATAATGATATTCTTAATTACTCTTTTTGTTTACTCTTGAAATAATTATCCAATAAATGATATGTTAAAAGGCAAAAATATTGATAAAATATTTTGTTAAGAGCTTTGAGCATCCTAAACTGCAATTATATGATGCAATTTTGCTCATTAACCTTGAAAAATATTGTAGTAATTATCAATATGTAATGAAGGTCATGTGTATGTTAAGTAAGGGTATGAATGAAATGGGTTAAAAAAATTAAAATTAAAATAAAGTAAATCACCTTTCTTCTGTATAGTAAGCATGATAAAACCCAATACTGTATATTATAAATGTGAGAATTATCACACACCTCCAAAAACCTCATAAATCATGATTCTCAATTCTATAAATTAAATTACCCTTTTTCCAACTCCCAACTCATCAAAAAAATTAATACTATACTATGGCAATGTATCACTACAATGATGGAGTTGCTTTCCTTCTCTATAGAGGAGGGCAGAGGAGGAATTGCAGTAAATGTGTACTATTAAATTGAATTTGATAAGTTAAATTTAAAATTTTTTAAAAGTATATATTTAATTTAAATGGCATGGGAAAAAGTAGTAAAAAAATAAAACTCACCTTCCACGTTTAAAAGGAGTTGGTTGGGGAAGCGAGTGTTTCAACGGTACACCCAATCACATGGATACACAATCCCTGGAAAGAGGTTTTAGCAATCCAATCAGTTTTATAGTTTGCTTCCCTTGGATTATTCCAAGTACTAGCCATGACTATTAGTTAATGGCCACCATCATAATTTTAAAGTTAAATAGATATTGCTATATATCAAATTACCTAGATATGTAACCTCTGTTTGGCATGGAATTGGCAATAAAGGACACGCGCTCATGTAAAATCAATATTTAAATGAAAAAAAAATTTATAGAGAACTTAATCACTGAAATTAAGAGAAGTGTTAAGTGATTAATTTTATTTGAAAAAAATAAACTTTTAATTTTACTTATACTTAAATGAAAAAAAAATTAAATTTACATTATATTATCTCATAATTATTAGTTTAAATAAGGACAACAATATTTAAAAATATAATTATATCCCACCAAATATTTTATATATTTTATATTAAGTATTATTAATATTTTTTATAAAGTGTTTTAAATTAAAGATAGAAGGGAGTATAAATGTTTGTGTGGGCAGGGCTATCAATTAGAGCTAAGCTTGTCAGACCAACTGTTTTAAACCTAAAAGTAACTAGAGTCGGGCTGCTACTTTAAAAGGAACAATGATAATTCAGGCTTAAAAGGGCTTTCAAGCCTAAAAATAAAAACGTCTGCCCTTTTATTATTTTTTTAAAAAATTATAATATAAAAAATAGAATATTAAATATATAACTAAAAGAAATGAACATATTAGACTCATTCATCTCTCCCTCATTCATTTATTAAAATTTAGTTGATAATGTTAGCTAAGTCTAATTTTTATTGGTATTAATTTTAATGTTGTTATTTGATATTAGACCTGAATATTTAAGTTTTCTTTATTTGTTGTGGTGTAAATTAATTTAAATTTATTTTCTTAAATTCAATTTTATATATAATGCCCTATCCGTTCAAAAATATAAGGTATTTTTTAATCGAATTTCACCCCCAATGAAGTAGTTATTTATTTTCAAACTAACCCTATCTTTCTGTATTTACTATTTACCCCTATTAAACACCCTATAATAAATATAAAGTCATTATCAATAAGGACACTTTTAAAAAAGGGCAATGATTACATCTCGAAAGATTAAAAATATCTTACATTTTTAAATATTTAATTCTTTAAAAAATGTTTTATATTTTTAAATGAAGGGAGTAACTTTTTTTAAGATTATAAATATTTTTTAAAATTTTAAATTAAAAAAATAAAAAAAATTTTACTTTTAAAGTCAAGGCTAAGTTTTGTATAAAAAAATTTAAAATATAATTAAATTTATTAAAATTAATTTATTTAAGCTTTATTTAGGCCTGACCAAGGCCGGTCTTTTAGGGTTTGACAGCTCTATGTGTGGGGGCCTTGGGGTATAGTACTGTTTATAAAGTGAATAATGTGATTTGTAACGCAAGTGTGATGTCAATCAATTATGAACACGTAAACTTGATCAAATGACATCAACAAATATTTGGGTATCCTCTATCAAGTTCTCAGAATACGTCGGTAAAATGAAATCAAAATGCCATGATTACAGAGTTTGAAAATTGATCAACGTTGCCCAGTCTACAGCTGTGCAAAAGTCCTCGAATACCCAGTATGGACAAATCCAGTTCGGTCCGATCCTACAAAATTGACCCGTAGTATTAAAAAGACCAACATGATTGAACTTTATTTTTGGGTTTGATTGAATAAGGAATTAAGCTTTTAGATCACTTGATCTAATGATACTATCAAATTATTTTAATGTAATTAAAATTATTTTTAATATAATTATGGTGTGATAAGATCAATTGATTTATTATTATTAGCTTTAAACATTTTATGATAAACTTTATATGATTATAAATATTTTTATTATTTTAATTTAATTTATTAAGTTAAAATAAATTGTTGCCTTCCATATAAAAAATGAGAAATTAAACTATCAATATTAATCTCTCAATTTTATTAACCAAGTCTGGTTCTGTTCAATTTCAAATGGATTAATATGTAATTTAAATTTTAAATTATTTATTCAGGAAAAATTTTAACTTTAAACTTTTAAAAATATATTTTAAACCCTAAATAATTAAAATTTAAACAATTTTACCTTTATTGTTAAATTTAAATGAATGTCCGTCAAAATAGGAAACAATATGCAATTTTTATCAAATGATGGTAGAAGAAGGAGGATAAAATTTGATAAAAATCACATAGTATGTCCCAATTTTTTAAAAAAATTAATGAACATTTGTTAAAATTTAACTGTAAAAATGAAATTATTTCAACTTTAATTATTTAAAATTTAAAATATATTTTTTAAAAATTTATAATTTAAATTATTTTAAAATTTATAACTCAGGTTTAAATTACGTATTAATCCATTTCACATTAAATGGGTTAACTGAAGTCACATTCTGCCGGACCTTCACACAGCCTTAACCCAATCAACACTCTCGTCTCGTATGAATGACGTCGGTCTTACCTCAAGCATGCACACACTGTTCCTCCACGTCATCACCAAAAAGCACTTGATCATGGGAAGAGAATTAAACTTCTAAATTTTTGGAAAGGTTTTTATATTTTAAGAATTAAATATTTTAAAATACTCCTATTTCTTAACATTATAACATTTTTTAATTATTTCAAAATGTTTTATTATAAATTAAATAATGACACACACATATATAAAAAATAATCTTATGATATTAAAAAAAATAAAATTATAACTTTAAAGAATATAAATAATAAATTTATCAAGTATGAAACTGTGAATGATTAATTTATATTTATAATTTTTTAGAAATAATTATATTTTAAAATTTCAAAATATGAATTATATAAATTATAAAAATTTAATATAACTATTTAACAAACAATTATAAGATTGAAACATAAGAAAAAATTTACGGTGCGTGGAATCCTTGATACTCATCAATGATAGTCCATTCAAATACACTTGCTTTTGCTGAAGGCCTTGTTCGAATTTTATAAATAAAGAAAAATTTGTGTTTGGAGTATTTAACACTCATGTGATTGTGTTTAATCAGAATCAGTAAGGATTGAATACAATTTTTGAAAATTCATAGCCACGTCAAAATCTCTCTGTTCGCTTGTGAATTGAGACTCTATATATAGACACAACAATCACCTTGATCATCACACTTGGAGAGAAAATCCCAAACACAGACAAAACCAGCCATGTTGTCTTCTTCATACTCATCACGCTTCTCTGTTCTCCTTCTCCTTCTCCTTCTCCTTCTCTCATCACTTTCTCGCTCAACATCTTCATCTTCTTCGGAGCCCACCCTGCAACAAAGCTTCGCCCAGTGTCTCTCTCTCAACTCAGACAAATCCTTCCCTTTCTTCGCCTCCATCTACGGCCAATACAACTCTTCCTTCACCACCGTCCTCAATTCCTCTGCTCAAAACCTCCGATACTTACTCCCTTCTGCTCCGAAACCCGAATTCATCTTCACGCCGACGTCGGAATCCCACGTCCAAGCCGCCGTAATCTGCTCCAAGAAGCTCAACATTCATATCAGAGTCCGGAGTGGAGGCCATGACTATGAAGGCATGTCTTACGTTTCAGAGATCGAGACGCCTTTCGTAGTGATTGATCTGGGCAAGCTTCGTGGGATCAACGTCGATATCGAAGACAACACTGCGTGGATTCAGGCCGGCGCCACGATCGGCGAGGTGTATTACCGGATATCAGAGAAGAGCTCGGTCCATGGCTTCCCCGCGGGGCTGTGCTCGAGCTTGGGTGTTGGTGGGCATATTACGGGAGGAGCTTATGGTTCGATGATGAGGAAGTATGGTTTGGGAGCAGATAATGTTGTTGATGCGAAGCTTGTGGATGCCAGTGGAAGGATTGTGGACAGGGAAGCCATGGGAGAGGACATGTTTTGGGCCATACGAGGAGGAGGAGGAGGAAGCTTCGGGATACTTCTATGGTGGAAGATCAAGCTTGTTCCTGTTCCTCAAACAGTGACGGTTTTTACTGTTACCAAAACTTTGGAACAAGGAGCTACTTCCGTTCTTCATAGATGGCAACAGGTGATAATTATGAGACTTCTATTACTAGTACCCTGCTTTTACTGGTTCTGTTTTCTTTCTTCTTTATTAATGATGCACTTGACACATATTTTTCTTGCATTAATAAGTTATTTATCCTATATATAATCAAATTATTATAAATAAGGGTTGTCAATTAAATTTTAAACTCTGTTTTTTGTCCCCCTGTTTTAATACTTTTACTGGTTTGTCGGGGTCTTTTTCCTTGTAGCTATAATTAGAGCTATCCAAAAGTCTTCAAGTCTCGTACAATTTGATCCAACCCGAACAACGTAGTCTAGTATGATCCTGTAAAAAAATTGACCCAAAAAACTAAAAAAACTAATGAGATTAGATTTTATTGTTGGGTTAGATTAGACAGAGAACCGACCCTTAATATCACTTGGTCTAATATGTTCCTATAAAATTATTTTAATATAATTAAAATTATTTTTAATATAATTATAACTATGATGTGATAAAATCAATAATGTTTGGTAATAAATTATATATGATTATAAATATTTTATTATTTTAATTAAATTTATTAAGTTAAAATAAATTATCACCTCTCATAGAAAAAACACAGAGAAAACAAGTAAAGTGAAATATTGAATTATTAAGGTTAGTCTTCCAATCTTATAAATCAAATCTGATCTTATTTTACCTCAAGTTAACCTTAAACCAAATCACTTACTTAATACAATCCTTTCTATTAAAAAGACCAAACTTCATGTCAGGCGAAATCCTATTCAGTCGGCCATTTACGCAGCCCATACTATAATCACGGGTTTTACTTACTTACCGGGGGCTTTTCCTTCTAGAATCATGAGTCAAACTTCTTTATTCATTGTTGTGGTCCCAGAATTTTTCCTTACACTTCTGTTTTTTTAATCAAAATGATTAAATTTGCAGTGTATTGTCAAAACAATTATAATGTTACCACTATATCATATATAAAATGTAAAAATTGTAATAAGCCCTGCTATTCTTAAGTCATATATAATATGCTTCACCTTAGAGTTCTTTCCGTGTAAATGCATAAAACCAATTCTATGTTGTTAGTTTTAATATATAATCGCCAAAAGAGTATGCTTTGATATTATCTTATACTCTTTCGGTTGATTTATTTAGTAAAAACATCACAATTGTTCCATATCCTTATTAATTGAAGGGGTATAAACATTATTATAAAAATATAGCCAATAAAAAAAACGAAAATTAAAGGACTTTGTTTTATATGGGTAAAAGAAGGGAGGAAGTTGTGGCTTGAAGGTTTGATCTATCAATTTGTGACAGGTGGCACCGTCGATTGATGAGGGTTTGTTCATAAGGGTACTGATTCAACCAAGTGGGAACAAAACTACAGGTAGAACGATTTCAACTTCCTACAACGCACTTTTCCTTGGCGATTCCAAAACACTCCTTCAAGTGATGAACCAAAGCTTCCCAGAACTTGGCTTGACAATCAAAGACTGCCTAGAAACAAGCTGGATCAAATCTGTGCTTTACATCGCAGGCTATCCAAACGACACTCCCCCAGAAGTTCTGCTTCAGGGAAAATCGTCGTTTAAGAACTTCTTCAAAGCCAAGTCTGATTTTGTCCGAGACCCTATTCCAGAATCTGGGCTTGAAGGCTTGTGGAAGAAGTTTCTAGAAGAAGAAAGCCCCTTGATGATCTGGAACCCCTACGGAGGAATGATGAGCAAGTTTGCAGAGTCTGATAGCCCTTTCCCTCACAGAAACGGGACACTGTATAAAATCCAGTACGTTACTTCGTGGGAAAACAAAGACGAAGATGCCACGAAACACATGGATTGGATGAGAGGGCTCTACGATTATATGGCCGCTTATGCGTCGAAATCTCCCAGAGAAGCATATGTGAATTACAGAGATCTCGATCTGGGGATGAACAAGAAGAACGGGACGAGCTATGAAGAAGCGAGTGCATGGGGAAAGATGTACTTCAAGGGTAATTTTGACAGATTGGTGAAGATAAAGAGTCAGGTTGATCCAGAAAATGTGTTCCGGCATGAACAGAGTATTCCGCCTCTTGCAGTTCCTTCATAAACTAATCAATAATAAGAAGCTAAGTCAAGAAATGCAAGAAGTTGGGATTAGAGATATATATAGGTGTTTAAGTTATATATAGAGGTGTATGATTTGATTTGGATAGGGATATGGTAAAGAGGAGTTTCCATGTTTTGTTTTTCTAAACGTAATAATAATGACAATGACAATGATAATGATAATTTTATTTTCACACAGTATTTCCATTTTTTTATCTCCATACTTTGAATAGAAAATTTTAGTGAGAACCATTGAACAAACTTAATTTCAATAAAAACTTTTAAAATTTTGAAACCTCATTGTATATGTGGGAGACTGAAATAAAATTAAAGAGCAAATTAAAATAACTGTATTATTCCTAATAAAATTAGATACATGAATAACTCGTATAAAAAAATAAACAACTTGCAACTCTCATTATAGCTATCAATACATAAAATTAAGCATATGAACAACTGACGTCAATGAAATAAGAATTGTAAATTTCATTCAAGTCAATTGTTAATTTTTTATATATCAATTAATTTTTTTATTAGTTTTTCATCTGCCTAACTTCACTAAGAATGATAAAATTATTTCAATTAGCTCTTTCATTTTATCTCAATCCCTTTATACGCGCTATGAAATTTTAAAATTTTAGGACCTTTGATTTAAGTTTGGCAAATAGGTCTTCGTTGAAATTTTCCCTACTTTAAAGATATTCTCTGTATCATTAAAGGATAATTGCACTATAGGTCCCGAAACTAACATATTTGCATTAAAGGCTCACTGTAATCCTGAAATAATTAATTCTATAGGTCTAAATGCTATCGTGCAATTAAGTTTTTTAATGAAAAGTTGGAATTGTTCCTTTATGAAATAAATGAACTTTTTGTTGGAAATAAATGGACTTTGATTACTATTTTATTATAAATTTTATCTAAATAACTTGTAAATTTCTTCTCTTTTAACAAGTATAAATCATGTAAACTATGAAATAATCAAACGTTTTGTTGTGAATAATGCATTTTGAATGTCATTTATAGAGTCTTTATTATAAATATTATCTAGGTAATTTGCAGATTTTCTCTCCTTCAACAATTATAAATCATGTGGATTATGCAATGGAATAAATGACATTTTATTATTAATAAATGAACTTTAAATGTTATTTACATAGTTTCTATAAATATCATTTTAATAATTTGTAAAAAAATTTCTTTCAACAAGTATAAATTACGTGGATTGTGTGAAATAAATGGTCATTTTATTTTTAATAAATAGACTTTAAATATTATTTATGAGTGTTTTGTTGTATATTTGGTAGAGGGACAATTCTATCTTTTCATTAAAAAAAAAAGGAAAACTTAATTGTAAGAAATGCCTTTGGTATGCAGAATAATTTTAAATTCTATTAGGTTATTTCAATGCAAAGGGATTAGTAAAAAAGAATAAAAAATTGTACAAGAAATAAATGCGAGTTACCCACTCCCTTTGGTACTTTTTACAAGCATTTGTTATATAATAACTATATTAATCCAAGGACCTTTTTTAGTAAGTGTATCATAAATATTATATTAAATTGAAAAAATTATTGAAAGAATTACAATAAAATCTTACATAAAAAATTAATTACTATAAAGTCTATTAATAATTAAAATAAAGTCCATTTATATAATTGTTAATAGACTGTGTAGTAATTAATTTTTTTATTTGGGAGCTATATCTAATTTTTCTTAAATTATTCTACAGATCCTTACAATTAATGTCCATTTGAATTAGGTCTTTATATTTTTATTTTATTTTAATTAGGACCTTAAAGTTTGATCTGTGAAGTCCATCAATCCCTGAGGGTTAAGTCTGTTAATAACGATTAACAGAGTTACTAACATAGTTAGAATAAGTTTGTGTGGCAGCCAGGTGGGTTAATTGCTGACACGCTAGACCAAAAGCAAGACCATTTGGACTGAAACTTCAAAGTGAGGAAGACATTTGTGCTCAAAGCTTGTGTTGTTCAGTGCTTGAACGCGCGAGGATGCAGATTGGACATGGATCCCAGCATAGGAGTGGCCCAGAATCTGAGAGAGGGGCAAAAACCAACGTCTTCGATTTTGAGACTACCATGTTATTGTTGTGCCGAAGGTTGACCAAAATCGATCCACCATACAAGATCGAGGCCATTAAAGGACTTCAGAATCCTTCAGAGGTCAGACACACTACAAGTGGAAGCACATAGCGAAGCTGTATGGTTTTCGAAAGTGCTAAATAGAATTGATCTGTTACTAGTTAAATGTATATTTGCAGCTGAATCTTGCTGAGCTTACAATGCTCTATATGCCAAAGTGAAAACAGAGCATCCTGGGATTAATGTTCTCTCATCTTCAAACTTGCATAGAATTTAAAACTAATTTAATAACACACATAAAGTCATTTAGGAGACACCAAAAATGTATCAGGAACATCATGGAAGTCAAAGCTACGGGTCTAAGGAGGACCAAGAAGAAGAATAGCCATGTGACTGACAAACTAAAATGATGAAGCCAGCAAGGAAGCGAGAATGAACGAACGGAAGTGATTGGAATAGACTTGGCTTCAGCGCCAAGACAATTGAAGTTAAAACAGTTAAGATTAATGGGTAATTGTTTATCTTGATGGGTAAATATTATGTGATTTTTATTTAGAATTTTGAATGAAAAACAAAATCTGGTATGATATATTTAATTCTCTTTAACAAACTATACACCAAAGCGTGGCTTGGTTATTTAGGTCATAGCAAACAAAAAAAAAAAGATGAGAAAACATAATTTTAGATCTCTGCATTTTGTTCACATTTTACTATAGTCATAGGATTATATATATATTTTTTAATATTTTATATCTCTATACTTTTATTTTTTAGTGTTTTAAATTTCTTCATGAATAAAGTGTAGGGATTTAAAAGAGATCTAAAATACTGAAAAATAAAAATATAAAAACTTTAAGTATTAAAAAAATTTAAATATATATATAACAAATTATGAATAAAATGTAAGAATTTAAAATTATATTAAAAAAAAAACACACGAACCTCTCAATGAAATAGGACAACCTTCTCATTCTTGTTCAAACACTGAACAACATGGGCTTTTTTCCTTGCTTTGAAGTTTCCAAGTAGTCTTCATTCCAGTCCAGCGTGTCAGCAGTTAACTGGCCTGGTTGCGACATAGACTTTCTCTAACGGTGTCAGTAACTATGTTAATATTCATTAACAGATTTAGCCAGTGGAGATTAACGGATATAAGGATCTACTTAAAAGAAACCAAAAGTATAGGGGTCTAATTCAAAATGGAAATAAACTATAAGGACATGCGGAATACTTTTTCCAATTAAATTTTGTGAAAATTTTTGTATTATTAATTAAGGGTCAATCAGAGAAGTCTTATGAATACAACGGAAAGGAAAAATTAAATGGCTAGACATAGTACATACTAACTTTAGTTGTCGTATTGTATTTGTCAGGAACCAAAAGTACAAGATTCAACAACCATTGGACTCTGAGTCGCACCGTGATATATATATCAGGTTGAAGTCACTCAGACAAACACAAATGTCAGCATGTGGGGTCGCCATGTAGAATAACTATGCATTCCTTCATATTTTAATAATATAAAATAATTTATAGAAACTTTTTCAATAGATATATTTAACAAATCATACTTCTTTCAATTTCAAAGGACCTGGATGGAGGCATATCACATCCTATTATTTACATATTTTTCTTATTTTATTCCTGTTTTATCCATGTTATGGGGCATAGGAGCGTTTTAACTGATGACAAGAGTTGAATTAATTTATTTTAAAATTTTTAATTTAAATCTTGATATATACATTCATGTTAAATAAAAATTTTAAAGACATTTTCAAAGTACTTATAAAACTGTTATTAATAATAATTAGATGGTAAAGATTCAGATTATTCTAGAGGGGAGGTGATAACACTCTTAGATTTTTTAATATTCTAAGTGACTGAATAAAAAATAAAATCTTTGTTACTGGACCATGCAAAAAGACATTATTATGCGCTTTCATTTTTTTTAATTATTTGACAGCGATGGTGTGATTGATTATTTTCTCTCTAGTTTCTCAGTAACATTGATGGTGAGTGTCTTACGCGGAAAAATTAGCTCATTTGATTTGGCAAACGACATGTTTAAGTAATCTTCTTCAACTATAAAATCATAAAGATAATGAAAAATGTTCCAGTACTAGATTAGTTATTCTTTTTTTCCTGGGTAATTATTATTGAAGGTAATACATAAAGATAAACTTTTACTAAAAAAATTTGATATTAATTTTAAAGTCTCTTGATTATTTTTACTAAAATAATGCATAATAATAAAATTCATTAAAATTATTCTTTTTATTAAAAATGTACACACATCACTCACTTGTTTTGAAAAATATTTATGGCTTCCTCTATTTTAAATTTTTTTTTTGGTGCCCGACAAACCTTGATTTTCAAAATCATAAAGCCCCTCTATTTCATGCCACACCGATGAGAATAAGAAAAATGGAAATTCAAAGTTAGACATTGAAAGTGAAATCAATATTAATTCAATCCTTTATTCTTAATTTGGCACGTTATATATATTCTCATTGCTCAACTTGTTGTGGCGATAATCCTGCCCTGTGGTCTCTGAAACTAAAATAGAAAGCCAGGTTCATTGAATTCAAAGGAAACTTACTATTACTTCTCCTACATTTTTATTAGTGTCGTGTGTATTTTATGATCAAAATATTATATACTTCATAATTCTTATAAGAATTACTATCTCTATGTAACTAATGGAAAAAAAAATATAATTATTATGCACTAACTAGACCCATTTTTCCATTCATTGCAAAGAATTTGAAGAGAAAAAGCATAATTGGGTGTCTTACATATAAATAATGTGACATGAAATTCTATATTCTACGTTGGTCATTTAAAAAAAATAAAATTCATTCGCTTTGTATGTAAAACACATTTGGTTGAATGGAATATGAACTTACTTTGACTTTTGTTCTATTTTATGTGAAGCATGAAATGAGCAGGAAATGTAGGTAATTAATTGAAAGCAGACGGAGTAAACGTTTTGAAAATCCAAGGTCTTTGTTATCTATACACATATATCTAGACATTGAACAGATAAAATACGGGAACGTGTTTTTGGGGTCATGCTTATGACTTGTCTG